CAGTAAAATCATCTCCTCCCCTCCTGAAGCAACTCCCTTCCACTCTCTCTGAAGTGTGCTCTCAAGATTCCAAATTTTCTCCGATTCTAGGCTTCCTAGGTTAGAGCACCAACTGCTGCTGACACAAAGAAACAAGGAGCCAAGCAACTTTGTGCTTTTTAAAAAAGTTTATTTTAAATTAAAAGGAACAGATGTCCAATGTTTCAAAAAGCCACACATTTGTGGATTTGGCTGACAAACCGTCTAAGCTGCATCTCATTCCTGTTCCCATAGAGTCAGCCAGCCACTTACAACTGACTCACACTGGGCCACAGTTTGGGCCAGTCTCCCAACTACAGAATTAGAATCCCAGATCTCAAATGAATCCAGGGTGTTTGGGTGGAAAGCGGGGGCCATCTAAAATAAATTTCTTTTAATTTAGTAGTATCAACATCCACACAGCAAACTGTGCAAGGCTAGTAGGTCAAATGAGCAAACAGCTGGCACCTGCCTATCCCAGCACCACGCAATTCTAAAGGCAATGAGTAAGCAGCTGTCCAGAACAGGTTTTCATTATAATCCCTTTTATGAGTACTGGTTGAATATGCAAATACATGTATGTTATTTGCTGCAATTCAAGGCCTCACCCCCAAGGCAAACGTATTACCTCAGGTGAACTCCTGGCCTTGTTGGGAAGGGCAGCAACCGAAGCCTCAACCACCAGACACAAATGACTCAATCACTTTTAGAATGTTCAAGTACTTCATGTGCTTTCTTTTCTTGTTGTCTTTGAGAATAAAGGAACAAACACTTCAGATGCAAGTTTTTTGCTTAGCATTTCATTTACCATGTTTTATGAATATCCAAGTTTTGATCATTGTCAGTTAGAAATGGAATGCTACTTGGCTTTCAAAAATGGCTATTGAACTCCTGATTAGGGACACCTGGCTGGCTCAGTCAGTAGGGCAAGCGACTCTTGATCTCGGGGTTTCGAGTTCGAGCGCCACATTGGGTGTGGAGCCTACTTAAAAAAAATAATTCCTGCTTAGGTTGATTTAACTTTTTGTGAGCACATTAATAACTATTTACGAATAAAACAAACCAATATTCTTTTGTTTTCTAACAAAAAAGAGACTTTTAGGTCTATTGAGGAAGGTCCCACATGCCAACTTTTTAAACTGTTTTCCCTATACGCAGCAAACCTCACTGAATATTCTATTTTTATTTATTAAATATATGAAATTTATTGCCAAATTGGTTTCCATACAACACCCAGTGCTCACCTCACTGAATATTCTAGATGGAACCTGGGCGGCTCAGTTGGTTAAGCTTCTGACTTCGGCTCAGGTCATGATCTCATGGTTTGTGAGTTCAAGCCCCACATCAGGCTCTGACAGCTCGGAGTCTCGAGCCTGCTTCAGATTCTTCGCCCCCTCTCTCTCGGCCCCTCCCCCACTCACACTCTGTCTCACTCTCAAAAATAAACATTAAAAAAATGTAAAGAAAAAAAAAAGCAGATATTCCTTTTTCTCTACCTTCTAGATTTCTTTTAGTATTTTATTTTTTAATGTTTATTTTTGAGAGAGCGAGCAAGCACGGGAGGGGCAGAGAGAGAGAGAGACAAAGAATCTGAAGCAGACCCCAGGCTCTGCACTGTCAGCACAGAACCCGATGTGGGGCTCAAACTCATGAACTGTGAGATCACGACCTGAGCCGAAGTCGGACTCAGCCACCGACTTGACTGAGCCACCCCTTAGTGTGTGTATGTACGTATACATATACACACACACACACACACACACACACACGCGCGCGCACACATATACATACATGTTTATTTACTTTTGAGAGAGAGAGAGAGAGAGTGTGAGCGGGTGAGGGGCAGAGAGAGGGAGACAGAATTTGAAGCAGGCTCCAGGTTCCAAGCTGTCAGCAGAGCCGGACAAGGGCCTCAAACTCATGAACCGTGAGATTATGACCTGAGCTGAAGGCAGACGCTCAACCAACTGAACCACCCAGGCACCCCTTAGTATTTTATTTTTTTAAGTTTATTTATATTTATTTTAGGAGAGAGTCCCAAGCATGCTATGCGATGTCAGCACAGAGCCCGACATGGGGCTCCAACTCACAAACTGTGAGATCATGACCTGAGCTGACGCCAAGAGTTGGAAGCCTGATCGACTGAGCCACCCAGGCGCCCCTTTAGTATTTTATAATAAAAACTAAATTAGGAAAATGTCAATATTTTAAGGATGTAAGGTTAGAAAAGTATTTTCAATTATAGTAAATTTTGTGTATCTGTGCTTTGTACTTTGTTGCCCCACTGGGGGGTTAATTTTAGATTTAACAAGGTTTTGGTTTTATCAAGTCAATTGGTTCCTTAATTTCTGCCTTTCTCTTTATTAACTTATATTTGGGTTTAACTTCTTTAGAAAGAGCAGGTTTACATCAAAACAAGGGCATACCTGCAGACAGTATTTAAAACGCATATATTGGGGCACATGTCTGGCTCAGTCTACAGAGCATGCAACACTTGATCTTGGGGTTGTAAGTTCAAGCCCCACGTTGGGAGTGGAGCCTACCAAATAAAAACATGTTTTCCGAGTAAACGCAATGTAAAATTTTTGCATGTGTATCAAATGCGGTCTTTGACAAGTTAAAAACTGAGAACACGCCAACAATTATGGTAGTACTTTACATTTTATCCAATTTAATCATTACAACAACCTATTTCCATTCCTATAGATGAAATCGAGGCTCCAAGTTTAAGACTTTCTCAAAGTCACATGTTAGAGGCAGAACGATAAGCCATCAGTAACATAGACTGTTGCACATGGAGGCGAGTGGGTTTCAAAATCTATGGAACGGCTTTTTGACTGTAAAAGGCTGGGAACTCCTCTGAGCTCTTTACACATGGGTCAGTCAAAACACAATTCACCCAGGGCACAAGAGGACAACACGTTATTCTAATTAGCTTAATGCATTAATTGTCCTCAGAAGAATCACTGCTGAGTAGTGAAAGTTAAGACCAGCCTCTCGGCAGTCCTACTACAGCTACAGCCAGCAGAGAGCACAGCGGAAACATAGGCAGAGGTTGTTCATAGGGAGCACTTCCTACTTACTGCATCTGCTGAACTAGTGTATTTCAGAAACTGCACTCCAGCCGTACCTTTTTCTGATTTTTAGAAGATGAGGAGAGTGGCCATCATCCAAATCTCTCTTTCTGTCAAACACTACACGTTTCCCACATTACTGTTTTTAGGGAGGTGTTCCTCAGCACATAAGTGTATAAACTGAGGATGTATTGCATTATATCGTACTGTATTATTTTGACAGTCATGGAGTTGAGAGACAAGATAAAGTACCACAGAAATGTAAGGCACAAAATGACACTTAAATTAGATGGAATTAGAATTCCCAGGCACCCCCCCCCCTGCTTTTTTTAAATGTGCAGTAATATCAAACCACCCACTCACAAATTTTCTGGTCTCCCACCAACTGGAATCAACTAGGTTTGTTTTGGGGATCATGTAGTTGTTTGTGTTCACTTTGGTGGATACAAGAAAGGGACAAACGAACCACTGGAACAGAAGGGTAACGTTCTGTGCCAGCTGGAAATCCAGCAGGATCATCTGAGCATGTCCCACCTGAACGCTTTGTGGAGGAAAGGGGGACAGCTGTTTTTCGTTTGTTTTCAAGGCAAATTCATTTGAAAGAGTGAACAAACCATTATCATAATAAGTCAAATGTATTACTTAGCTCCTCAAAGAAATGTTTCTTTTTTTCTAAACACTGTACCCTGAAATAAGTTTACCAATAAACCTGGAAGATTTAGCACATATAGTATAATTCATACGGGGTTTCCTCTTTCCTTTCTTCAAACACCAAATAAAATGCAGGTGAAAGAGATGACACACAATTGGAAGCTGACTTAGAAGTTTATGCTAACCCTAAAAAATCTAAAAAATTTTGTTGGTTAATGTGAATCTATTAACATAAAACCTGGGTACCGCTTTGCAAATAAAGGAACAATCACATTACCACAAGGTCCCTGGGCAGAAAAAAAAAAAGATTGTTAAGAATAATAACCTTTTCAAAACCCACAAGGCAGGTTGTTTGTCTTTTATTTAGCTGTGGTCATGGAGACCATCCCAATTTTCCATAAAATCTTCTCGATACTGCTGCAATATCATGGCATAAAAGATTCAAAGTGCCACTAGACTTAAGGACAAGAGTTTTTTTTGTCATAAACCATGAGGCTAGGTCATGTTTAAATGGGAATATTTGATATGGATGGTCAGATGAGAGATACCAGAATGTCAGACAGCCCATCGACTGCTGTTGCCATGAGATTCAACAGTCAACATCAGTCTGATAAGCTACCCGACAAGGTGGTACAGCCATGGAGATGTCACGACGGTAGGCAAACTAAGTAGACATTCAGGCAGGATTTGATAAAACAATCAGGCATTTCTGGCCTGTTGCGATTTAAACCCGATTCTACTTTTAACATAATGTCAGAAAAGATTTTCCTAAAGAAAAAAAGTGAAATTGTTTATTTTCCTCCCAGGCAAAACGAAACAACCAAGTTCAACTGGAAACATCCCAAAAGAACATAACACTCACTGAAGAAAGGAAAGAAAATCAGGTTACATTCTAAAAGTAAATTTTTGTCAGAAACAGAGAACATGCTGAGCTAAAACGAACACAGACAGGAGAAAGTGTGGTTTTTTGAAAAAATGAGTTATTTCTCTCTCCAGTGCCCTTTAATTTGTATACTTTCATTTCTCCTGTTTTCACGAACCCCTCGCTATGTCAATCCCTAGGGAGCCATTTCATCAACGTGTAGCAAGCTGCCCCAATTCCAGGTTAACAAGAAAGTGCCTCGGTGGTGGCTCCTACACGTAAATAAACAACGGTTGAAGAAATTATGGTTGTAGGTAGATCTGGCAAAGTCGACCATTAGTTGGAAGTAGCTAAAGGGAAGCAAAAAATCAAAACGCTCAAGAAAACGGACACAATTTTGGAATGATCAAAGATGTCTTTATAAAGTTTGTTCATGACTTCATTCTAAATATACAGAATAAAAAATGGTGTCAGCTCATTCGTGAGACACCAATCAGAATTTTCTTATACTGTCTCAAAATTTAAAGATCAGTTTCCCAAGAGGGTGTGCAATGCATCATAAGATGGCCTTTTTTTTAAGGTAGGAGAGGAAGGGTTGGGCAGGATTAAATAAATTTTACCATGATAGACATGCAAGACCGTTATCCAATCTAGTATAATTTATACACACTTTAATGACTTAGAAAAACAAAGGAGTCATTTCTGACAAGCCTAAAAGGCTTGACATACTCAACATACTTAGGAACTAGTTTTTGGTGTCCGGAATTCTTTAATTGTACCACGTGGGCCTTCTGAAAGTAACAAAGAAAAGCCCGGTTTCTGTTAAGTTCGCTGCTGAACATCACATTCCACCTGAATAAAACACAAGCTGGATTGAATTGAGGGTGGATACCTTACCTTAACACACAAAGGAAAAGTGTGTCAGTGCAAAATATGGACTAAACTGTTTTCAGAAAACAAAACAAAACATTTTTTTTTTTTTTAAATTGATATAGGGTGGAAAAGGGTATTTTCCTTCCTGGTTTGGAGTCCTCCCAATTTAAGGCAGAACTCATTTCTCATTTCTGCCATTAGAACCTTTTTCTGCTTATTTGGTTTTCTCCTCTGAGTTCAACCGCTGCTGGATTCGTTTGGCATAACTTTGTGCCATGGAGTTAATGATGGACAGGATGAAGTAACACACCATTACAACGACCAACTTCTCAAACATCCAGGACAACCAGTTTTCTCCCTGTAAGAATAAATGCAGAACAACCCACGAGAAATGCTTCATTAGTTCAGCAGTAAAAAGGGGATCATTTACAATATTTAAGAAAAATGATGAGAATTTGGGGCTTATAAGCTATAAAGTCGAAACAATGAAAATGAGAAGGCCCGTGTCTCTAGATACCCTGAAGTCTATATTCAGGCCTTCTGACACCCAATTATTAAGATTTCACTTTGTCAGATGTAAAGTCAATGTTGATTCACATAGTTTAGAATGGGTCAGTGTGAGGTCGCCTTTTTTACTACATAATAAAATTTTTGATTCAATTCTGCTCTCTGAAGTTGCCATGTAGATACTTGTGGAGAGCAGTGTCCAGATAGTTACATGTCGTTCCAGCACTGGGAGCAGCTTTTAAAATATGTCATCTATTTCTGAAGTCATGTTTGGTCAACTGAGGGCGGCAAAGGGCCACACAGAGTGTAAG